ACGTTTCTGAATTGACACCCTGATTCGACTTACAACAATTGGTTTCGACTTTACAATGCTCGGTCCCACAGTGGAGTGGATTGAAGTTCAGAGTTACAATGTTTCGACTTACGACGCAAGTTTCAGGAACCAATTGTGTCATAAGTCCAAGGACTGCCTGTATGTAGTGATGAAAAGACATGCAGGCACAAAAAAAACCCCAGGAACCCTATTTGGAGCTATGGTGCGCTCTTGTGGCTAATAAATTGGGATCTGGCCTTGAACCCCTGGAGTCTTTGCATTTCCTGAGCTCCGGATCCAGTTGACCCTGTGTCACATAGTTGCCATGGCCTAAATGTTCAAACATGGCCAGTGAGTTGGGGTAATAACCAATTATAATCTCGAGCGCTTTTCCTCAGCAGATCCAAAAGCACATTATAAAGAAGGCAAGCATCATTATCCCCATTTTACAGGTGGGGAAAATGAGGCACAGAGAGGAGAATGGATTTACTCAGCAGACCAGTGGACAAGCTGGGAATAGAATACAGGTCTCCTGAGTCCCAGTCGAGTGCTCTATCCATCTGGCCATACTGCCTCCCAACTTGAAACACTCGAAGGGAAGCCCAATTTCCAGAATGTACTAAAACTCAGACCTCTTTAAAGTGCTAACTTGGGCTCCCAGAATCCCTAGTCACTTTTGCAAATGTAGGCTTGTATGTTTTTAGCTTTGTAAAAAGAGGAGACGTGATCTAATCAGCTCGATCACACTGATGTGCCAAGTAATTATCACGGTAGCGTTTCATTAACAACCTCCAGCAAAACTCACTTCAACTCCCACCACCAGAACAGCCAGCTAGAAAAAAAGAAAAGAAAAAGGCCAATTATTTTTCATGAGAAATTTGGGCTGGGGGAGAGGTGCTGAAATTTCCCATTTCCCTGTTAAATGCCTCACTCTGGAAAAAAAAACAGGATGAAGGAACTTAACTGTGAGCTTTTATGTGCAGTCTTGAAACACACCTATTAGGAGCCAATCTGCTGGCAGAAATGCATTCTTAAAGGGCATCTGTGAATTGCTTCTAAGATAACACATGCAGCACATTTCTAGTTAGAACAAACACTAGTTCCCAATGACAAGCTGTGGCACTCTGTACCTCAAAACAGCACCATGGAACCCCCATATTCAACGTCATATAATTATGATTTACTGTGTACAAAGTATGCCTTGTGAGCTATTATTTTAAAAGTCTTGATCTGTTGAACATTAATACCTTGTTAGAGTGTATGTGCTATCATTGTATGGGAAGTTATGAAGTTTTGCTATGTGTGTGTGTTACTGATATGTTGGAGCCTTTCAGATACAACAATGGAGCAGCCAGACATGCTGATGGCCCACTGAAGGAATTCACACTCCCAAGAACTATCCCAGGATCTGTATACAATGGAGACTTCTCAGAGATAGCATGAAGACAATGGAGACTGCTTGACTCATGTCCATAGCAAAGGGTCTTTCCAGCAAGCTGGAAGAAACTATAAAAGAGGGGAAGTGACATCATAGAATATCAGGGTTGGAAGGGACCTCAGGAGGTCATCTAGTCCAACCTGCTGCTCAAAGCAGGACCAATCCCCAGACAGATTTTTTTTTTTGCCCCAGATCCCTAAATGGCCCCCTCAAGGAATAAACTCATAACCCTGGGTTTAGCAGGCCAATGCTCAAACCACTGAGCTATCCCTCACTTAGCCTCACTTTCCCACCACAACTTGACACCTGGAAACACATCTGGAGGACAAAGACTGACAAGGGAAAGGTGGTCCTGGGCTGAGGAGGAGTCCCAGCCTGTGTATGGAAGATCTGTAACCTGCTTGTACTGTCTATCAGGGTGAAACACTGCTTGATTCAAATCCTGTTTAGTTTATAGAACTTAGGTTGTGCACTGATTTTTATTTTCTTTGGTAACCATCTCTATCCTTTATGCCTACCATTTAAAATCTATCTTTCTGTAGTTAATAAACCTGTTTTATGTTTTACTTAAAACAGTGTATTTTGCTTGAAGTGCTTGGGAAACCTCAGCTCAGGACCAAAATCTGGTGCATATCCTCTCCACACTGATGGAGAGGCAGACTGGGTAATAAACTTATACTGGTCAGGCTTCTGACCAGGGCAAGACGGTACAGGTGTGGGGTCCTGAGCTAGGGGGGGAATTGGCTGGAGCCTCTCTGTTGTTGGTTCATGAGAGGCTGGGAGAAGCATTCATGTCTGTGTAAGTGCAGTACCTGGAGAGATTTGCAGCTTGTCACAGTATCACAGTGTGAGAGGGAACCCAGATTGATGGGTCAGAGGGCTCAGCAGTACCCATCACACAAGCATCCTAGAGCCCCTATTTATTTCTGACACACCAAAGGATTCTGATTTTAAACTTGACTTTAGCCAGTGCTCTCCTGGAGCATGTATAAATTATACCTTAGATTCTCTCGTGTTACAGGTATAAAACCACAGCAGAGTCTAAACCATGCACTTACAGCATAAGATGACTGGGTGGCTCTAGGAATTGGTAATCGACTACAGACCCGCTTAGCTCTAGGTCATTAGTTCAAATCCAGGGCAGGTCAATGGCTGTTCAGTTTCCACCATAAAAGTGAGTCTCAAACCAATTCCTACTGGACACAGACACAGAATGGGCCCCCTTGTGGTAATCTCAGCAGGGACTGAATAGGCTTGGAGAATTCTCTTTCATCGCAGGCTGGCAGGGAGCAAGACTTGCACTGTCAGTGCTGTAACCAGTTCTGTGGTGAGGTTCTCGGACAGCAGGGCTGCCAAAGCTAGCACCTCTCAGCAATGCTAAATTCACACAAAAAGTTAAAAATCAAATCTCATAATTTGAGAAGAACTGTAGCCAGTTGCCTTTAAACTATGACTTTTGGGGTTTATGAGATAATCAAATGTTAATGCAATCTAATATCCTTGAGTCTCTAAACAGCCACATTTAAGTCTACAATGATGCTTCCTCATTCTCCCAACATAATTCGTTTCAACTGGCTTCTTAGAAGCAAAGAGCAGCCAGCATATTTTGTAGTAGCTTTCCTGATCAGAAGTGATTTTGACATCCACTCACCTTTTTACTAAAGAATCTATTTGTGCCTCACCAGTTCAGAATGATTTTCTATCAGTTGAGTCAAAGCTGTATTTTAGCCTGGTCCCTGAGCAGCATAACTGCTTTTATCTGAAAGCTATCTTGTACCTACAAGCAATATTTTAATGCATATCATGGCATTTTAGTAGAAGCACTTCATCTTTATTCTGATCAGAAAGGGGGGCGAAATCAATCTTAACTCCTGATAAAATTTTATTTAAGAAGGTGGAAGACATCTTCAAGATTTAACGAGGGATTAAATGGCATACTGTACATACTTCATAGGAGTCTTTACACGCCTGTGCTCCCGGCTGCAATGTACGGAAGGAAAACCTTCACCAAAATAACCTTAAAGGGAAAAGCATCTTGCATCCTTAAAACAAACTTTCTTAGGTAACTATGCTATTGTGATGTTTCAAACTCCTATTAGATAAAGAACCCCGTTGCCCTCAGATTTATGTCTGGTTCTTTTGGAAATGATGCTCCCCAGTGAATGGTCTTGGAAGGCTTCTTCTTATCTGAGCAAACTCAGTTCAAACCTACAATCTATGCAGTCATTTCATTTTTTTATTATGTGCATCACCTTAGCAGGTCTCAATGACAATACCATAATCTCTTACATGAGAACTGTACAGTGCCCTGTAGTTGCAGGATCATTTAACCAGCTTCAGACCGCAAAGAAACCTGAAAGGATGGTCTGACTGAATGTGAATACAACTGACATTAAAATAAATAAATAAATAAAATAAAATCAACTATGATTCATTTATATAGCTCCACTTCATCCTATCACTGCACAAAACATGAGCCTCACATGAACAACAGCACTGTATGGCTTATCAGGATTCCTTCCCTTCAGCTAGTTACAGCACATTAGGTGTAACCCTTGAAAATATGTATAAAGTGGAATGTTAGAAACTTTTTGCATAAATTATATGCCAAAACTAAACTCTCTCTCACACACACAAAAAAACCCAGCCTAATTCTTATCAGGCTTTGATTTTGGCAGGTCTTGGTTTCTGGATGCCATTTAAAAAAAACCATTTTCAACAATGAGGCACCAATAATTTAAACCAGGAATTGTACAAAGGGGGAAATGACATGCCTGAGAGAATTCTGCTAAGACAGTTTTATTTTAGCCATCACATATGATCAAGTTACCAATTACAAGGAGCCTTATTCAGTGTAAAATCAACTCTGACTTGCTCTGTAAAGTGACTCACTGAATAAGAAGCATTCTCACTTATCAGCAGGTGTTTGTAATGTTAAGGTTGGATCTCATTTCTCTTCAGAGAGAGAGAGAGAGAGAGAGTGTTAAAACACTGGCACAGCAACACAAGGCACATCTGACAATGACAATGCAATTTATCAAGAACTAGGAAAAAATCATGAAACTGTTAGAGTCTGTTCATCCCACATTATTTATCTTCTGGCTGATGCTTAGAAAATGTTAAGACGCTGAGGCAATCAAACACTAATGCAAACATAATTAAAAAATTAGATGCTGTTTGTCCCCTTATTACTTGAGTCTATATCTCTATTTATAGCAGACACTGTATCTCCTAGACAGCACACAAAGTCAAGATTTCTCTCTTCATCATCTCTTTTCTCAAGTTTAACTCCTATGCATTATTTTAATAGCATGGAAATCAGGACATCAAGGAAACAACAAATATTAAAACCCACCCAAGTGCTTCTTTCATAGCACCAACAACCAGAGCTTTCTACAACTTTTTTAAAAATTAACTAACCCTCTAGATAAACATAGGGCCAAGAAATCCAGACATTTTTGTAAAGGGAAGTAAGTACATGCCAGGGCTCCCGACCCCTCCCTCCCCTAGCTTTGACTTTGGCCACCATGTACATATTCCTTCTTTTCCAGATCTAGGGCTCTGAACCAGAAGAAGAGGTGGTGAGTCCCCGACACAGCAGGATCAGGCTGCACCATTCCCAGGGGATAACACCTTGCAGAGCTGGGCAGCGCTGTCACCCACCCACCAAACCCCGCAACATCAGCGCTTCCCTTCCCCGCCAGGTAATGTCTGACCAGCGCAGGCAGGTCTGGAGGGTGAAAGAGAGAGAATTACCTTGGCAGAGGTGGAGGCGCTGGCACCGCAGTGATCCGGAGTGGGCAGGCTGGTTCCCCAGCTCTCTGCCCCCGGCCAAGCACGAGTCGCAGCTGCCCAGGGGCCCCTGGGTGGGGGGCGCCCAGCGGCTCAGTCCCGCCGGCTGGTCTCTCTCCGGCCGCCCGCCGGTCGGTAGGAAGAAGAACAAATCACATCCAGGTTCCCCCCGCAAAGGGAATCCAGAGCGCGGTGTAAATCCGCCCAGCCCCCTGCAAGCGATGTCGCCTACTCCCCGCGATGGGTCCCCGAGCCCCCAGGTCACCGCGCACGGCCCGGCCCGGGCCGATACACCGGCAGGGCTGAGGCAGCGCCCTTGGCCGAGTCCAGCGGGCGGGTCTGCGGGGCTCAGCCCGGCGGACGGGCGGGCGGCTAGCTACGGAGCCGGCTGGAAAGGGGGGGCTCTTCCATGCGCTGAGCCGGCCTGGCTCCGGACCCCCTTCCCCGCGCCTGGCCGGTCCCGGCTCGGCGGCTGCTCCGCGGGGAGGTGAGACGAGGCGGGGGACCCGGCACCGCTGCTGCTGCTACTGCAAAGCTCGGGGCGGCTCGGGCCGGCTCGGGACCCCGGCGCGGGGCGGCTCCCGCCCGGTAACGCGGCGCGGCGGCGGCTGCATGGCGGGCGCGCGAGGCTCAGTCAGGGCAGGGCGCGCGGGGCTGCGGCTCCATCCCGCTCCTGCCGCCGGAGCTGCCCGGCCGCCCCCTGCTCGGCGAGCCCCGCAACGGGCGGCGGCAGCGGCTGAGGACGCAGCCCGCCTGGCTCGGGGAGGCTGGAGAGGCGGGCGCGCCCTCATGCCTGGAGGAGCCGAGCAAGCGCGGTAGCGGCCGGGCTGCCGCTCCCTCCCCCCGCAGATCCCTACTGGGGAGGGGAGGGGACGGGGACGGGGCTGCTCTCACCCGGCGCTGGGGGCGGGAAGGCAGGAGAGGAGGCGACTGGAGAGCAGTGGCTGCGGGGGAGAAGCAGTGGGGAGGGGATGCGGGTTGTTTCAGCGGGACTGAGGGGTGAGCATGGTGGTCTATAAAATAAGGAGTAGTCTAGAGCAGCGGGGTTCGTCCTTTTTCACTGGCAGACTCCTAACAAATTTCGAATAGAGGCACCAGGTGCAGACAATTTGGAAATCTTAGTCACCTTCAGGGGTCCCAGGACCACCGCTTTGAAACTACCGGGCTAGAGCAGGGAGAGCGGGAGTTTCTGTCTCCCCGCTCCAGAAGAAGAGGAGATTCGGTTGCATTGGGAAGTGGCAAATTCAAAACAGATAGAGGAGGGAAATATGTTTTCACACAAGGTGTGGCTAGCCTTTGGAACTCACTTCTCCTTGCAGGATGTCCTGTTGGCTAAGACAGATGAGACATCTATGTGGTTAACAAGACTTTCCAGATTATAAATAGTTAATACTAACAGAGTATAGGACAAAAACAAGGAGTTGTCTGGTGGCACCTTAAAGACTAACAAATTTATTTGGGCATAAGCTTTCCTGGGTAAAAAAAACACTTCTTCAGATGCATGGAGTGAAAATTACAGATGCAGGCATTATAGGACAGGAGATAAACCCTCATGTTTTAAAGGCAATCTCTATTAGTGGTAAGGGTAGGACCATCATGGGAGGTTTTTATTGCCTCCCATCTATATACTGTGGGGGTTCTTGCACTGTCCTCTTAAACATCTGGACATCGTCAGAGACAGGGCATGTGTCTAGTCCATTATGGCAATTCCCACACTTCTACCTGGAGAGCAAGGGGTGGGAGAGCACATAGGTCTGTGAGGGGTTAAAGCTACAGAATGTTCAATCGAACTTTACATTTATTTTCCCCATTCCTGGGGAACCTCCTGCATTTATTCAATGCAGTTAGTGAAGTATAGGACACTTGGTCACTCCTACCCATTGCTGCACATGTCAAGCTGCCTGCACAGCTATTCCCTATTATTGTGGGCCCAAACATTCAGAAATGGCTGTTATTTGGGGTGCCCCAGTGTCTGGGTGCTCAAGTTGGGACACTTTAAAGGTGCCTCATTTTTCCAGGTCTGCTAAGCATCAGCAGCACCAATGAATTCAGCTGTGGTTGTTTTGGACTTCTAAAAATCAGGCCCCTTTAAAGTGCCCCAAGTTGGGCCCCCAGAAACCACAGCACCCCAAATCACTGGTTCTAGCTCAGAGTTTTAGCCATAGTGCACAAGGGAAGGTGCTACTGCGTGCTTTGCAGGCTGCCTGAGGGGAAGGCCTCCCTTCCCATGCCCACTGCAGCAGTCTGAAACAGGGCAGGCCTACCTGGCCAAAGCCCAGATAATTGATTAAGGGGTGAGCACATAGAGCAGGCCCTACACAGCTATTGGCCAGATGACTGGGAGGAAATCCCACCCCTCACTCCCTGCTCTTGGTTGGAGAAAGGGCATATACTTCTAGAGTGGGAGCTTAGCACTTTTGAAGTGGGGCTGGCTGTAGGCCACTTTATCAGCCAGTGGGCATAGAAGTAGGATTGGAAAGTGGTGCCCCATGGCTGAGGCTGGAGCAAGCAGGCCCAAAGATAACTTGGGCATGGGGCTAGGGATAGGCCTAGGGAGAAGCAGCATAGGTGGCTGTAGCCAGGCTGGGAAAGTGGCCTAGGCCCTGCCTGTGAGTCTTGACTGGAATGGTAGCCATGGCAACGAAGGCCTGTGATACAGTAGAGACCCTGAGCTCCTGTGGCACCCAAGCACCAGGGATCACTATGAGAGGTAAGAGATGCCTGTAATAGGCCTGCAGGACTGAGGCTGACATGGTGCAATATGAACTCATAATGGGTCAGCGATAGTACTCTTAAGGACTGTGGGCTCCATGCATTGTACTGTTGAGGTGGTGCTGTGTGTGTTGCTGAAAGGTCACTCTTACTAATCATGGGCTCTGTCCTTGCCCAGGTAAAGTTGCTGGTATTATATCTGTGGTAAATTCCTGCCTCCCCAAAACTCGTGGGAGGGAGCCAAGCACCTTGGGCCTAGCAGGAAGCAAGTGGGGCTCTAAATGAGAGGATCTCAAACTGGGCAGGCATGACCCCTCAGGGGGTCACAAGGTTATTATGTGGGGGGTTGGGAGCCATCAGCCTCCACCCCCAAGCCATGCTTCGCCGCCAGTGTTTATAATAGTGTTAAATATTTTTAAAAGCGTTTTTAATTTATATGGGGAGGGTCTTACTCAGAGGTTTGCTGTGTGAAAGGGGTCACCAATGCAAAAGTTTGAGAACCACTGCTCTAACTCCTCTTGGGCATGTAGTTTGGGGGCATTTGGGGACCAGACAACAAACTGAGGTGCCCTCCCCCCCATGCTGATCCGGTCCTACAGCTCCATTTTCCAAAGGGCCTGAGCTCTCAAGGAGCTGAGCACCTTACATACATAAACCACGGCAGTATTGCCAATTTCAGGCAGTGCAAAATCATGTCAGGCTCCCAAAAATTATGAGATTTTTGTTTTAAAAAAATGCACATTGGGTTATTTTTATTTACCTTCTGGCATTTGAAGTTTATGGGTTTGCTCCAGTCATGTTTTCAAGCTTTTCTCCACAACCACAAGGATTAGACACTTAGTTTGTAAAATTAAAGCTGAGATTCTCACCTAACATGACTCCAGGAGCTGGGGCTTTAAGGAAAATAGTAAATATTGCAAGACTCATGATGAAGGTACAAGACTTGGCAACAGTGCAGTGGCAATGTGTGCATGTTATACTCACAGATCCAAGTGATGCTGGAATACTAATTTAATTATACTTTTTTGTAAAAATTGAAATACACCGTCCCCCATGGAGGTGTCTGCAGAAAGGTCAAACCTATGCTGTGACCATGCCCTGCTCACCAGATTGCTGTATGCCACTGACCTCTCTGTCAAGATGAAGGCTTAAAGAGATTGGAACCGGGATATGCAAACCTGGCATTATTCCAACCAATTCGGTGTAAAGTAAAACACTTTTTCTTCAAAAATATAGGCTATGTTTATGCTAAGAGTCCAAGGCATTGATTTCTGAATGCTTGAAGCTGGCAGTACTGCAGTGGTTTATATATGTTCCTCTTACATCCTATTAATTTCTTCTATACAGGTTTCTTTGTCAGTCTCCTTTGTGAATCAGTGGAGATATGCATTGAAGTCTCTCTCTTTCTATTGACTCTGACACGCATTTTGGCTGCAGATTTTTCTCTTCCTTGAGTTATTCTTATACATGTTTTATTTCTGTTGTGGTGCTTTTTTGATTGTTTCCTACTTGTAACATTAATTGTGCTTCATTTTGTCAATGTCAGAATTGCCCCTTTAATTCCATCAATTGCATTCACTCTGTGGGTGAATTATTACATTCCCTTATTCCTTCCATTTTTTGTGTCAAAGTCACTTAATTTGTTTAATTAATTTTCATGTATGTTAAAGAATAAAAATGTGGCACAATGACATTCTCAGTCATTCTGTGACAGACAGAGTGAATACAGGAAAGGCAAGATGCTGAATAGACTTGTACATGGAAGATTGCTGGGCTGTGGGAGGTGAAATGCTGTTGCTGTATTACTACCCTCTGAACCACAGTCAGATATCAACTATAGTAAATAGCTAAATATATGGAGATATACCTATCTCATAGAACTGGAAGGGACTGGTCATTGAGTCCAGCCCCTTGACTTTACTAGTAGGACCAAGTACTGATTTCTGCCCCAGATCCCTAAGTGGCCCCCTCAAGGATTGAGCTCACAACCCTGGGTTTAGTAGGCCAATGCTCAAACCACTGAGCTATCCCTCTGCCCCCATTCACATCTCTGAGCAGGCTGAAATAGGGCAGGTACAATATTTACAACTGGTAACGCCTTGCCACTCAGGATTAGAAATAGTCATGTGCTGGCACATCCCAGTTGAGGGGGGGCACCTTCCAGGTAGAAATGCTGCAGCTAATGACACTAATTCTGTTGTGTATGCATGATGTTAAATACTTGTACAGGGAATATGGTTTTAGCCTGAGCTGAGAAGGCCCCAGACAGGTGTGGAGGAAAATTGGGTCTGAGGTTTCTTCTATTTGAAGAAGAGCTAATGCGATCCCGGGATGCATAAACGGGAATCTTGAGTAGGAGTCAAGAGGTTTTTGGCACTGGTGTGATGGCTGCTGGAATATTGTGTCCACTTCTGGTACCTGTAACTCAAGAAGGATGTTGATAAATTGGTGAGAGTCCTTGCTGGCCTTGGAATCTATGAATGAATGAAGTTTGAGAATGTTGTGTCTGATTAAAGCGGTGTTGCAGGTCATTGTGTAGTTTCTATACCCAGTGTTCTAGGATGTGGAGCACAAAAGAGCTTTTTCTTGGAAACTCTCAGCATTATACTGCAGAATACTCATTCAGAATTTCATGGCTCTTCAGGTTATGGTTACTGTGAACAGAAAAATAGTCTTTGTCAATTTTCTAATTTTCCAGCAATCTTCTGTTTATTTCTTCTTGTGCTCCCCTGCCTGCCTGTCTTTATCTATCTGTGTTCTCTTGTTTTAGATGGTAAGCTTTGAGGGGCAGGGGTCATCTTTTTATTGTGTCTAAAACAGTGGGGCTGCATCCATGACTCAGAGATCTAGGCGCTACTGCAATAGAAATAATTATAATATTCTATTTGTGCATTACCATATGAAGTTGAGCATATGTATTACATATGAGGAAACAGTCTATGAGAAGCTTGATAAGGCTGAGTTTGACATCCATTTGGGACTAACTCCAGAAGGAGGACCTGTAAGATAGACAAAAATCTGTGTTTAACATTTTTCAGCTGCCTTTCTGCTTGGTGACTTAGGCCATGATGATAGCGACATCCCATTGAATTTGGAAGGGCCTCTAGTGCTACTTTTAATTTCTGAAGAAATAATTTGGAAAGTTTCAGGAAAAACAAAACAAA